GTGGTTTGGAACAAATTTACTTTTGCTGTGTTCTTTGTAATTGGACTAGTGACAGCTCCAAGTATGTATGAATATCAGGAATCAGTACAAGAGATGTTCCAAATCGACTCATGGCGTTGTATGGTTGAGAATAATGCTGTTGTATCAGAAATGACACGACCTCTTGTACCGTGTACCTTTTGTAGCACTCTAAATTCTATATCTGTAGAATACGCTATTTCCTTGAATGACTTTCGCACAAAATACGCTTACTCAAGTGTTCCTGTTTTAATAAAGAACGCAACACATAACTGGTCTGCTATGGACATATTTAGTTATCAATATCTTAAGGATTTGTACACTGACACTGAAGGAGCATTAAAATCTGTGGATGAAGAATGCCAGTTTTTTCATTACAATACGGACTTTGAAAATCTTACAGAAGTTTTTAATATGTCAGATGCACGTGCGAATTTTGCAGAAGGGGAAAAACCTTGGTATATTGGATGGTAAAACGTTGTGTTTAATTAAAAGCTGTCACATGTTTTGTATATGAGCCGCGTCATGAAAAAACCAACATAATAGGTTTGCGACCAGCATGGATCCAGAGTTGTTGGTTTTGTCATGGCACGGCTCATATATTTTAAGCAAAAACTCTTTATTCTAATATTTTGGAACTACTTCTTATTGTTCTTTTCACACTAGTTCATATATGGTCAAGGTAACATACTGGAGCCAAGAGTGATTAGCCTTTACTTACATTATAGAGCCAGGCCGACCTCCATATCCCTGCTATATACTGTTGGCCGAAATTTCCAAAATTGATATTGGCCAGTTTCAAAAATCTAAACTTAACAAGTCTATTAAAGTCAATTAAAAGGTTAAAAGAATCTTATACTAGTTAAGTTTTTGTGCCCCCACGTTAGTGGCGGGCATTTAGATTTACCCTTGTCCGTCCGTCCGTCCGTCCGTCCGTCCGTCCGTCCTTCCGTCCGTCCTTCCGTCCGTCCTTCCGTCCGTCCGTCCGTCCGTTCACTTTTGTGTCGCACGTAACTCAAAAAGTATTTGACCTAGAGTCATGAAACTTTACAGGAATGTTGATCAGCATGTGAAGTTGTGCACCTGGGTATTTTCGTCTGGATATTTTTAGTATTTTCAGAGTTATTGCCCTTGACTTAGTAAAATTTTGCAATTTTCAACTTGTGTCGCATGTAACTCAAAAAGTATTTGACCTAGAGTCATGAAACTTAACCGGAATGTTGATCAGCATATGTAGTTGTGCACCTGGGTATTTTTGTGTGGATATTTTTAGTATTTTCAGAGTTATTACCCTTGACTTAGTAAAATTTTGCAATTTTCAACTTGTGTCGCATGTAACTCAAAAAGTATTTGACCTAGAGTCATGAAACTTTACAGGAATGTTGATCAGCATGTGTAGTTGTGCACCTGGGTATTTTTGTGTGGATATTTTTAGTATTTTCAGAGTTATTGCCCTTGACTTAGTAAAATTTTGCAATTTTCAACTTGTGTGGCACGTAACTAAAAAAGTATTTGACTTAGAGTCATGAAACTTTACAGGAATGTTGATCAGCATGTGTAGTTGTGCACCTGGGTATTTTCGTCTGGATGTTTTTTGTATTTTTAGAGTTATTGCCCTTTACTTAGTAAAATTTTGCAATTTTCAACATGTGTCGCACGTAACTCAAAAAGTATTTGACCTAGAGTCATGAAACTTTATAGGAATGTTGATCAGCATGTGCAGTTGTGCACCAGGTATTTTCGTCTGGATTTATTTAGTATTTTTAGAGCTATTGCCCTTCACTTAGAAATTTTTTGCAATTTTCAACTTGTGTCGCAAGTTACTCAAAAAGGATTTGACATATTCATTAAACCTTACGGGCAGATTGCTCAGCATATTTAGATTTGCACCTGGGGTTTCGCTTGTGGATTTATCCAGTATTTGTAGAGTTATTTCCCTTGACTTAGTAAAAAGATTGACAGAACAGTGGCGCGGTGGGGGCACCCGTGTCCTATGGACACATTTCTAGTTTTAGTTTTTTTTTTTTGTATTTTTGAACATTTGTTATAAATATAATAATAATAATATTTAATATAATACATGTATTTAAAATACTTTCTAAGCTTTATTTGAACCGATTATGACATTTACTATCCTTCTTGTGGAATAATTTTTAAATTAAATTTAGATTATATTAGTAAGTAAAATGTTATTACTTATAGAAAAGAAAAATGAGTGAAAAAATAATTACATAGAAAATTGAGTAAAATATCATTACATAGAAGAAATTGAGTAAAATGTTATTACATAGAAAATTGAGTAAATTTTTTATTACATAGAAAATTGAATAAAATGTTATTACATATTAGGAAATTAAGTAAAATGTTATTACATCGAAATTTTTCACACACACACGCACCCACACGCACGCACGCACGCACACTTTTTTGAATCATTTATATTTTGTAGTTATTATTTATATTGGCAACAATGCTACTTCTTACATTCTTCAATGACAAACAATTTATTCCTCTAAAAATCATTTTACAGTAATCAATGAAGAAAACATAAAAGTGCATCCAGTATTGGACAGAAGTCATCAGTTGAGATGGATTCCTGGAGATGAAAATTAATATCTTTGTATCGTAAATTAGCCCAAGAAATCATATCATATTTGATAAAAGACAATGTATCAACCACACTGATAAACTAAGTGAAAATGTCAAAATTACAAATGTGAATTAATGGGCTGCTCATGACGAGAACGAAAATAGTTAAAGTACATAATATTATGAATCATTTTATACTTTTATAGACAGATATTTTGATATTTCAATAGACATACCAATTCGGAGACACCAAATTAATATTAGGGCTATTTTCGCTGCATCAAAGACAATATGATGTAAAATCGTATTTTTGTCCCCACAAAAATTGCAAAACTGTCCAAATAAATGTATCATTGACAGAACCATCAATCGGGGACTGCATTCCAAATTGATTGCTAGCTGCCAGCGTTTTTATATTACATTGAATAAAGTAGTTTAATTGTGAACAATTTAGCGATTTATCAACATTAGAATTAATATGAATAAATCAATTTGTATATCGTTTCAGGCATTGGCATTAAGACACATCAAAGGCATATTTAGCGAACGCAATCGTTCACGTAAATTAAACGGTTATTTTGAAAGGCGGCTTATGATTTCATTATTATATTTGCGCTTTTAAGGTATTAAAAACAAATATTATTGTTAAATGAATACCGCCAATGTATAGATCGCTCCTCTAATGTTGGGCTTTCATTGGACAACATCTCGAAGATTATAAAAATCTGGAAAAAAATTGTCCAGTGTCAAGTGCGTCAGTCTTAATTAATTTTAATGTTTAATTATTGCATCACCACTAAACCTACACGTTGGAAAAATGAACCTTTGATTGTACTATGTAGATTTAAATTATATAAGTTTATGATTTGATATGATATGATAAGCGAATGAATCGCTTGTTATGTAACATTAAATAAATGCATTCATGTCATGAAAAGTTAAGATTTTCTACGCGTGTGAATATTTTATTGTGAGGATAATGTATTCGTTTAAATATGTCCCCTTAGAATTACTTGACTTTGATTTTTATGACATAAGAAATATAATCATCTATTTTACATGCATATGCGCTATTTATTGCTTCATTTCCATCTACTCATTTGAGCCATGACACGAAAAGCATTGTGAATTAAATCCAGTACTCATTTGCAATGATTTTCACACAAAAAAATGCAATTCCATTGTATGAATTTCCCGCAGGAGCATTCAATTTATATGTATCACATTACTCGTATAAAATAGGAATGTCGATTAATTAATTGTTTGTAAGCAAATAAGGATATGCGTAGAACATAAGTCGTTGCTATGTTTGCCTGCACGTTCTCAAGTTTATTGTAGTTTAATATATTCCAGAGTTGCTATCTTTGCCCAGCCTACATGTTTTCAAGTAAATTATTGTTAAATATATTTCAGGAGTAACTGTAACAATGAAGTAAAGAATGAACTTCGAAACCATTACGAGCGGCCGTATTTTCTTCCCAACGACTCGGAGTCGAGCTCATTAGATTGGATATTTATGGGCGGTTCCGGGCCGGGAGCACTCATACATGTATGTATTATAAATATGCTAATAAATATTTTAATTTTCCAAATGGTTATTTTATTTATCACTTTAAAAATTTTGTCTTTTTTTTACATTTTTACATTTTGTTTTGCCAAATTTTATGCGGCAAACCGTCAGGAATATACATATTAAAATGAGCAATACAAATAAATTGTACAGTTTAGTTTATGATATTATAAAAAAAGACTTACGTCAGATTTCTTCTCTGTGTTTTAAAATGTAATTAATTTTTCCAGTTGGACTATGTACAGAGACCCTCTTGGCAGGCTCAAATATCCGGGAAGAAAACTTGGACACTTATACCACCCCCGGAATGTGAGAAGGTGTGTAAAGCCCTTAATGTGACTGTTCATAAAGGAGATATTTGTAAGTAACATTAAAAGTCAAGTTTTATAAGTTTCTAGTTTTCAATTTAAATATTAAGTGACATCCATTTTCTGATTATACTATTTGAGATAAAATTACAGACGCACTATCATAATTTTTTTAGTTTGAAGTAGCAATCTTTATCCACAATCGTCCCGTCATTTTCACATAATAAAGATATTAGTTATTCTTCTGTCAAAAACCTCATTGTCATGCTAAATCTGTAACTGTTACACACAACTTAATGCATTTCTGTTGTTAAAGTAATTCATTACTGCAAAATGAGACACAAATTAACTGTTAGATATCTTGTTTATTTCAAGTTGTTATTGACACGAATGTATGGTACCACTCTACATTCATCCATCCTGGAGAAATCAGCATTACAATCGGATCGGAGTATGACTAAAGTTTAAACGACACAGAATCGGACCTGATAAAAATTATTTATTGGAACTATATTGTAAAACAATGCGTGTTTAACAAAGGTTAACTGTGATATAAAAATACTTGACCACCCAGACAATGATATGAAAGCCACAGTGACTTATTATGCTTGTGGACGCGTTCTATGAACGTAGCTCTGCCTTGTAGATCTGATCTTCGTTCTCATCAATTATACCGAAGAGACACTAATCTAAATTGTTCATATTGTATTTTCTTATTAGTATGAAAGATTATTTGGGTGTAAATTGCATGTTCATGAATAAATGCAATGTCATATTTAGGACTTTAAAATTGAGAACATGTGGGTAATTGACATATTATTCTTACAAGATAATAGTCACTTAATTAGCGTAGCACTGGATAAAAAGAATGACCGCGATCTCTGAATAGATAAAGTTAGAAAAAAAAATCGAAATAATAGGAAATATTAACAATACATTCTTCAAAAGAAATTGGCAAAAGCCTAAACTACCATAATAACAAATTTTAACTGAAACAAGATAGCCAGGACTGTCAATGGAACATTCATTGCTCAGCAAATGATTGCTTGTACACATGTTTCAGCAAGTAAAATCTTTTTTATAACCCTTGTTTAATATATTTTTAAATTTTACGGGGCTTTTTCAAGAAAAAGTGCCAGTCATTTTATTTGTGAAATTAAATGTATCTTTTAGCTTTAACATAGTGGAGTTACCTTTAAACAAAAGATTAAGAATAAAGATTATATAACTTACTATGCTATATAGATATACATGTATGTATATGCAAACCCGATACAGAATATTCACCATTCCAATTTACTATTAACAAGAAGGATCAGGTAACCAGCCAAGCTTTAAAATTAACAGAATAGAATCTGAAACATGAATTATTATAAAATATAATGTAAATAAAAAGAAATTCTTCCATGCCATATTTTTAAGAATTTTGTTTTGTTCTTTTATTCTACAAATTCAAATATATTTACCTTTATTTATTCATTATTTCTTTTGTTATTTTTTGTTTTGTATCATATTGTAAAATGGCACTTTTTATTTACAACATATACTATGCTTTTCATATTACGAATGAAGAGTTTAACAATTGTTTAAAGTGTTTTCAGCTCTTATTGTTTTCATATACGTTTCTTGTTTTATATCATCCCTTTAATATATGGTTTAATAAATTTTGAATTAAAAATTTAATCGCTGCAGTGCTTTAAACATCATCTGATTTATCGACACATCTAATTTTAAATGATGCAACTCAAATAACTTTCAAGAACATTTCAAATTACAGTTTTATAAAGTTCAAATTGTAATGAGTGGTTTTGAAGGATATTATCAATACTATGATGTCTTGTAACGAGACTGTACTAGCACACATTTGAACACATGCTAACATTTTAATAAATAATCAAACGATTTTCATGACAAAAGATATGAGTCAAACGCTGTTAAACAGACTGAATAGGTTGATCTATTTAAAATACAATTCTCACATGCTAGACAAACAGTATAAAACAAATCGACAAGTACCATTAGGTGTTGTTTTTTGTACCAATTTCTTACGGCTAAAGTCTATATATTCTATTGTTGCAGTATCGCTATTTTAGACATTTCTTCAAACAGCGCCTACTATGTCACCTCAAAATTTTCGAACAATTTTCATAATTTTCTTGAAATATAAAACAAATAATGGTCCTCTTTATACTGTTTATTTATATATTTTATTTTGAATGCTGCATCAAATGGCAAATAGATATTGGAAGCTCTAGTAACATTTGATAGCAATCATATAAGGTTACAAACAATGCCTTTACAAAGAGACGTACTTTAAGACAATGATGTCTGGAAAGCACAGAACACAATACATTTAATCTATATCTTAATAATACAAGGAAACAAAATGGCAAAAAAAAAAAAAACGAAAAAAAATAACGATTTGTCATACGATTCTGAAGCTGACTGACAAAATGACGATCTAGCTCTCGACAAGAGTACAAGATTAATTATAGGAATATTTTTTCGCTTTCATAAAGTTGAGTCGGTCATCGCAACGAGAAGATTTGTCATGGACTTAAATTTATGATATACTTTGAAAGTAAGGGACTTAAATTGCAAGATTAATCAGTGTAATAAAATTTATAAACTATGTTAAATTCTGTTATTTTCAAATGTGCTTTAGATGAAGATAAAATCGAGGAAAGGACTTAGTTAAAGTAGAGTTCAGCGACTGTTCGGAAACAATTACACGAACAATAATTCGCCATTTCTAAGAAAACACAGTTTACCAAACTTTTCTTCTTTTTCTCGAAAGAAGTTAACTTTGCTAAGAATATGTCTTAAGTTAGGCATAGTCTATGTTTATTATTTATTCATAATTAACATCTTTCTTTAAAATGCTACAAGTCACAAAAAGGATTTCAAGGTCCAGATGGATAAAGCATGTCATTTTATTGTACTGGCTCGTATTTTGTTAATTGGAAATACGTGGTCATGGTTTTGATAAATCACTTCGGTAGAAAATGTCACGTCTTTATTAATACAAAGAAACAAGTAAATGACCCAAGTCAATTTGAGAGATGTATGAAAAGACAAGGTTAGTGCATTTTTAGTGCTGGCAGAATGACCATAGTTCAAATGTAGCGGCAAATACATTGAAACATTTAAGTTTGCTTTTGACGTCACTACTTATGACGTTGTGATACCATTTGGGCTGCACCCTATGAGCATAACTATGTTTGCATATATATATGCATAACGTCAAAATGTGTTTAATTGTTATATATAATTCTTATTATCAATATTATTGAATTTATGGCTTAGTTCCGGGAATTTCTAGATCATCCCTCGTAAAAATATTATGATTTAACAATTTCAGAATCACCTTGGCAATAATTGTTTCCACATTAGTAAATATATGTTTACATAGGTTATACTGCCTGATATACGTAACTAAAGCGCCTAATTTGCTTTTGCTCAAAATGAAAAGAATGTATTACGTTTATTCTTTGTATACAAACATAGCAACCAATAACCGATCTATAATAAATATTAAACCAAATATTGCAATTGAAATTGCTTTTAATCCCACTTAAACTTAGCGAAATTTTTAATTAAAAATTAATCATGTTTTTTCCCCGACTTTTTTTTTATTTTTTATAAAGAGAAGTTTATTGCCTTTTTCAACCGCCTCCGTGAATGTTGGAAAGTTTATTTCTAAATTATAGATTCCGGATGCGAATCGGAAAGAAAGTTCCGTTGGGAAAAACGTTTATAACGTGAAAGAAGGCACTTGCAACACGTCAAAATGTCAAAAGACATCCTGTACTGATGATGATTCTATGTAAATTATATTTAAAGATGCAATTTTATTTTATAAAAGTACTTTGTTATATGTTATAAATTAATTGAACGAATTTGTGAATTTATTTTTTTTTATTTAAAAAAACGCCGTATAATGAAAACAATGTTGTTAATGTTTTTTATTTTCTTTTTCTTTTTTTATTTAATATTGTTTTTTGTCTTCTCTTAATTTTTGTTTTTTGTTTCGCATGGCAATAACCGTACTAGTCTTATTTGAGTGCCTCTATTTCTACGTTACTAATCGGAGTTTAGTAGGTACAGTAAAGTTGCATATATAACCCGGATCTGATCAATCAATTTATTGTATAAATAAACAGAAAAATATTTATAAAGTTTCTTTTTTTTAATATTTCAGACATTTAGTATACTTGTAATTTTAATCAGAAATTTGCGTGAATATCTAACGACGTCATATGTTAATTTCTAGATTTTTATTATACAAATATAAGATTATATTGTATTTTGTTGAAATTGAAAAATAAAGAGATTCCTTCAATACAACGTTACTTGTTCTATTTTTTTTCATGTTAGTGTTCATTACTTTCAAGGATTTCACTGGATATACTCAGTAAAAAAGTACAAAAACTTTAAATTAATATCTAGTATAGTTTCTGTTTGTCAAATATGTTATAAAGTGACATGCATGAAGAAAAAAAGTGATCTTTTTATTGTAATGTACCCAGTTTTCAAGACATTGTGAAACACTTGGTTTTGACCAAATATAAATGTATTGTAGAACATTAATTAAAATACTTAAATATAAAAGTATCTATTAGAATTTCAGAATCTGATAAAAACGGAATCAAATACATAAAATATTGCTATCAATTTGTGTCCTTTTGCTATTAAAATGCATTTACCTCATCTTGGGGACATAATTCACTCATTTTTTTCCCCATTTGTTTCACCGTTTGATCGGTTGAATTATGAAATTGTTTAATAGCCGCAAGCTTGATTAGGGTCAGTAATACAATGTTACACCATATATCATGTTTTAATATAAAGCAGAATCAATTCATACATGTTTATTTCTATAACTCAGTACAGAAAGTTAATCAGGTTTGATTTGATACATCAAAACATATCTAAAATTGTTAAAGCAGCTAGATTTTTGCATAGTCATATTCGAATTGATATTAATGACAATTTATGTATTTGATATATAATTTTGATAACAAAATCTTCTTTTAACTTACTCTGAGACAATGCAGACAGTCAGAAGCAAATGCATGATATAAAAATCAAACTAAATGCAAACTAAAGGAGAGTGGAAAAAAATGTTTGAAGACTGACCAATATTATTGTGAATTATCAACACACAAAAATAATTTTCTTTCAAATATGTCCAAGTAGACAATTTCACCATATACCGTTTACAATTAAATAAATAACACAAGACATGGTGAAACAGAATATGATAAATTGTTAAATCAAAATCAAACAGACAGACAGAAATACAGACAGAAATACTTTACATTATGACATATAATTTCTTGACACATTAAAATATCTATTATAAGCACAATAAGCAACATTATAAAATTTAGGACGCATTAAAATAGAACATAGCAAACAAATGCTATAGAAAAATATATAGGAAAACAACCGGTATACTTATATATGAATTTGAACGTTTACGATGCTAAGAAAGTTTTTTTGACTGCTTAATTGATTGGTATGACGACGTGACAATTTATTCTGCAACAACTAAAGAAATTTGGAATTATACGTGTTCAATACATTAAAAAACGGTCTTTGCCAATTTGACAGATAAATCGGAGGTTGTATCTATAATTGATTTTCAGCCGTCGATGTTTTGATAAAGCAGTTTCATTTTACACCGCTTAGCTATCAATCATTACAAGAAACGATATGAATTAATCTATCAGTATGTCGTTTCAGGCATTGGCAATCAATTTGGACGTATTA